TGAGTGGTCCAATTCTTCAACTTTATCCTCCAGTGTTGATATTCTGTTTTCCCCTGTTGTTTCAGGTTGGCTTATTTAGTTTTGCAATTCCTTCTTTATTTCCGCCTGAGTTTTGTTCAATGTTTCTGTTTCTTTTGTGAATTCATTCAGCAGTTTATCCCTATCTTCTTTTAGCTCTTTGATTTGTTTGTGTGTTCTTTAAATTTGTTGAATTCCTTGATTGTGCTTATGATTGTTCTTTTAAACTCAGTGCCCTGGGTTATCTCTAGGGGGTTCTCCTTATAGAACTCTTCTATAAGATTAGTGGGCTTTGCTGGGGACATAGTGTTTTGGCTTTCCATTTTATTATTCTTTTGTTGTGGTTTTGGCACATGAATTTCTTTTGTTGTTTATGATTCTGATATGAGAATTAAGTTGAAGTATGCTTCTGTTTGTATTATCCAGGTGTCTAGATCCTTTCTTTATTGGTTATGTAAAGCTAGTTGATACAGGGTTCAGGTTCTTTCAGGTTTATTTTGGAGGGAACTGATGGCTTCAGATCAACTATTCAGGGGTACCCACAGAAGCCCAATTCAGGTTCCAGTCAGGTACACTCAGGCTTCCTTCACCATGTGGAGGCAGGATCCAGGCTCTCTCAGGCAGTCCTGTGCATTTGCAACCCTATGTTAGGAGGAGGCCAGAGAGGGGCCAGAACTCCGCACTCTCTGGCAGTCTGCTGAGATCCCAGCCTTAGCCTATCAAAGCCAGATCTGCCCTGGGGCCTTGAGAGGGGCCTCACAAAATCCCCAGTATGGCGCAATTAGGAGAAGCTCACCACCATGTGGAGGCAGGATCCTGGGGCTGTGAGGCTGTCCCCTGGGTTCTCAGGCCCTCTGGTAGTTGGAGGCCAAAGGGAGGCCAGAACCCGGCACTCTCCGAAGGTCTGCTGAGCTCCAAGGAGCTACCTCAATGGAGGTCCAAACCCACCCTCTCAGGCTGTCCACTAGGATCTCAGCCCTAGCCCACCAAAGCCAGATCTGCCCTGGGGCCTTGGGAGAGGCCTCACAAAATCCCAGGTAGGGGGATGATATGTCGCAATTAGGGGATGCTCACCACCGAGTGGAGGCAGGATCAGGGGCTGGCAGGCTGTCCCCTGAGTTCTCAGGCCCTTTGGTAGTTGGAGGCCAGAAGGAGGCCAGAACCCGGCATGCTCTGGCAGTCTGCTGAGCTCTGAGCAGCTACCTGGATGGAGGAGCAAGTTAGAATACTTTCATTTGGAGTTAGACAGAAGGGATCTTTTGAAGTCAAGTTCAAATTTAGATTTATCCATTTCTTTGATTTCTTTCTGTGACTCATCACTTAACCCACAGATGAGTGGTCTTTGAGAATTTTGACATTACAATATCAAAATACATATCTTGAACACACATTAATATGAACTGAAATAATTCACTTCAAGGACAAGGACCATATTTCATCCTAGAAAAGCTTTTGTATGTTTATTAATTAATGAAGCAAAAAGAAAAATATGTGGACTCGTACTGAACAATTCTTCTCAGCGAACTTTCTCACTGCTTTGGTTGTGGCCATTTACTTGAGACTGAAACATGCCCCTGCAGCGCCCACTTCAGTTCACAGCAGCAGAGCAAAGTTGAACGCAGAAACAAGAGGGTAAAAAGTCCGCCCTGTGGCACAGAATCTAATCCTTGTCTTTCAAGTAACCTACAGGCACTTAGAAGGACCAGGAAGCAAAAATGATGGATTCAAGGTGACCACTTGTACAAGAGACGCAGACGCCATGGTCAGATAGTGAGCTGGTAGCACACGTCTGCATACAAAGGATGCTGTTTGTGTCACTATGGAGTGTGGAATTCTAGCAAATGCCACATCTTTAGGGCTTGCTGAGTAATTTGTTCTACATTGTTACTTAGAATATCACAGACAACTTAGCCATGAGGAGCCATTTTGGAACTGGTTTGATCCATCTAGACTTGACCACACAGAACCTCATCACTTCCTTTTAATTCTGAGCAAGTGAATTGTTTACTGATCTCAGAAGGATTTTTTCCTTTTGTATCTAGATGCTTAATTTCTTTTTAAATGTCTTTCCAAGTTATCTTTTCAAAATATATTAAGGTTGGGGCTGGAGAGATGGCTCAGTGGTTAAGAGCACTGGCTGCTCTTGCAGAGGACCCTGGTTCAATTCTCAGCACCCACATGGCAGCTAACAATTGTTGGCAACTCCAATTCCAGGGGAATCCAAAGCCCTCTTCTGACCTCCTCAGACACTGCACAACACAGGTGTACTTACACACATGCAGCCAATACACTCAATGCACATAAAAAATAATAAAATATTAAAAATATGTACACACACCAAAAAAATCAACAAATTCTTTTATGTATTATATTTGGGGAGGAAGCATGGAAATTTACATCATGTTAATTAGTAGAGGTGATAAACAT